TTCTTCCTCCCTAGGTGCATCACCTTGCACTTGTCAGTGTTGAAACCCATCCTGTTCTCATCCCCCCACCCGTAACCTGTCCAGGTCTGATTGCAGCCTATTCCTCCCTTCTAGCGTGCCTACTTCTCCCCACATCTTAGTGCCATCTGCGAATTTGAACAGGGTGCTTTTTACCCTGTTTAACTGGTTAATTATATCTTAAGTGTAATGTGACCTTAGATATTGTATCTACTTTTAAGGGATAGTTTGTTTTGAATAACTTGAATATTATCTTACCTTAGGAAAATGAAGTTTGCTTTTTTAGTTCCAGTATGGTTCAAACATGAGGATGACCAATACAAATATTGCTCTTACATAGGACAACTAAGTAGATAGCATTGAACAGTAGTAATAAACACATGGTCAGCTGAGCAGTAAGTGGTCATGTTGTGCATTGTTACAGTCAAATGATTTTGCTAAATGTATACAACCTTGTTTATTCACCACTCAACTTCTTTTTTCTTGGTACTAAACTGGCATGCTTTTTTAGTTAAACTAGAATTGTTTTGCAGTTTAGAAAAAGCTTTGCTTTTTAGTCCATCATCGTCCAGTTTTATTTCTTACTTATGCTATAGAGAGTGTGCACTGGAACAAGCAGATGAAGAGGAAGAGAAACAGATTCATAGTAAAAAGAAGCTGAAAAACCAAAATCCTGATGCCATCACACAAAGCCTTGATAGTTCAGAAAAGGAAGCTGGTGTAAAACAACATAAGAAAAAACAAATCAGTCAAGCAGAGATGTTAAAAAACAAAAGAACTGTGTTTGTTGGGAATTTACCCATCCACTGTACTACACAGGTAAGTGAAAAGTGTTCAGTAAATTACAGGAACCACAATAAGGTCTTGGCTTAAAGGAGCCCTCAGTCTGAGGGAACAGGCAGCACAGCATCAAATAGGGTAAGAAGCAGAAAGAAGAGCAGCACATTGGGCAGAGGAGGGGGATTGGAGTGGCACTTGAGTGGGGAGTGATAATTTGCAGCATGCCTGCCAAAAAGATTGCCCCCCCCCACTGATGTCTCATTTACAGGGGATATTAGCAGAAACTGATTTTTAAAACAGTTATTCATTTTCAAAAAGATTTTTAAGTTGACATTATCCCTTGAATGAGGGGGGAGAGATGTCAGTATTTTCGCACTGATTTCTAAGTGCTGAATTCTCTCTTTGGATGCTTGGGCATAGTTCCCATTGATGTAACAGAGAGGTCAGTATGCAGGTATCTGGGGGTATAATATAACCCATAATAATACAAGGCAACAGCCCAAAATATCTGATACTATGAATAAGTAGAAGAGAGGAGTTGTAATATTCTAATTTATCAATATCTTAAGCCAGTTCAAAAAACTAATTGAATGCATTAGAAACCACTGATTTTTAGGTAGATTTGGATAATGCAAAACTCGTGATTTTTCTGTCAAGGGACCAAATGGTTGTCTTCTGGATCTTAAATATTTCCTGAAAAGAGCTAACAGAAAAATATCTGAATTTTCCTGTGTAGAGTTGTTACATACCCACTGCGAATGTAGTCTTTTCCTGCATACAATGCATAGTAATTTAGACTAGCTACAATAAAGGATTGAAATACATGTTACTTCTTTTCTTTTGTTCAGATGCTGACGTCAGTTTTTAAAGAGTATGGACAAATAGAGTCAGTTCGCTTCCGCTCTTTGGTATGCTGTTCCCTTTTGTTGTCCTCTTGCTTGCCTATACCATTTGCATATATATCTTTTTTTTTTAGTCCACTACCTGTATTTCTTGAGTTAAAGCCTTGCTTTTCTAAATATTTCTGAGAATAGCACTTGGTTCCTTTGAGAGTCTGTACTTTCTATATGTATTGTTTTCCCATAATAACAGTTCATTGCACTGAAGGCACATTTGCTTTGGAAGACAAATATCTCATAATTGTAGTGCTTGTTTTTCTTAAAAGATTATTTCACTGTTTACTAATACCATAGCAAAGAGAGAGAATTTCATTGTAATTCAGTGTGGAGTATAAATTAATTGAAGATTGCCATACCAGAATGCAAGTTGCATAGCAAACTAAACCAACCAAATATCATTCTTAATAATTTTAAAGGTCTTTCATAGACCTTCTCCCAATTTTAAAAGTTTGTTTTCTAGACTCTTTGTATTACCCCAGATAAGAATGAAACCCATTGTTTCCTCCCCACTTTACAAGAACAAATATTTGAAATAATCTGATACGCTTACTAAGGCTTCTGAATTTTTTTCTGTTGAAGGTCCCAGCAGAGGATACTTTATCCAAAAAGCTAGCAGCTATAAAGTAAGTTGTACTTGTGAGCTCCATGTTTTATTACTGAAGGAAAAATCTTTTTAAGCTGTATTTTTATACTTGTCAGACTTGCTTCCTTTTTGTTCCTTTAGCTTTTAAAAAATTATAGTCTTCTATTGTGTGTATAAAATAGGCATTTTGGGCACCTATATACATGCAGCACATCAGGGCAGAGTCAATTCATTACCTTGCTCCAGCAGACTTCAGCATCACATGTATCAGTGTTTCCATGCAGCAAAATGCTGGCAGGGCACCTTAACTAAAGCTCATTGAATGAGCTTTAGTTAAAGCACCCCTGCCACTGTTTTTCAGCACAGGGATGCTGATACACGTGATATTTCAGGCACTTGAATTACAGTGGCTCTCAGAGCCACTCTAAAGCACCCCTCCTCCTGGACCACAGGTATAAACACCCTTTGTGATTTCTGTGGCAGCACACTTACTTCCTACTAGTTTGGTTTTTTTTTTTCCACTTGGTACTTACACAGTTCTTCTCTCCATCAAAAACAACCTGCAAAGTGCCAAGAATCTTTAACTACTGACTTCTTTGGGAGTTGGAGATGGACCCATAAATTATAGAACCGAGGCCTAAAAGACAGCTGTAAGGGGGATTAATGTCTTTTGGCTTGAACCATCATTATTAAGGCCTGGTTTAAATTGCAGGCCCAACTTCTTAATACTGTGGCCTGATTGTGGTGGGGGCTGCCATTTTTGCACCCAGATTTGGGGGCTACTTGCTTTGATGTCTGCTGCAGGCTGGGGAAAGCATTCTTCAGCCAGCCCAAAAGCCTAGCAGGCCAGGGGAGGGGGAAAGGGACAGGTGGAAGAGAGAGCTTGGGGATGGGTAGAGGAGGGGCTGTTTGCTCCTTCAGGCAGAAAAACTGGAGTGTGGAGGGCTTGGGGGCACCTGGGGGCTGCCTTGGCAGATGGCTCTGACACTGGTAGGGGAGGGGCTGTTTGCTTCTTCCTGCATGTGTTCTCTCCCCCCCAGTCCCTGGCACCTCAGTTTTTTCTTACCCTAGGAGCAAACAGCCCCTTCCCCTCCCTTTTCCCCACCCTGTAGCAGCCATCAGAGCATTTCATTGCAAATCACATTTTTGTAAAAATCAGTTAATTTCATGATTTTTTCACAAAAAAAGTGAAATCGCAATTTAAAACAGGCCCTAGTCATTATGATCGTAATCCAAGGCTATAACAGCATTTGAAAGAATTGGTGTCATTACTATGTACATTCCACCTTGGGGGCTGAGGTGTTTTTTTGTTTGTTTGTTTGTTTGTTTGTTTGTTTGTTTTTTAAATGTTCATACATGTAAGTATGATTTCAGTTAACTTTCTTTCTTTCTCTTCAGACGTAAGCTTCATCCTAACATGAAGTATGTTAATGCTTATGTGGTATTCAAAGAAGAATGTGCTGCCAACAAAGCTCTAACAAAGTATGTCTCACTTTGTTACTCAGCAATGGCATTACATTTTGTGATGATGGATTTATAAACTGTCAGATGAGAAGTTTGAACTGCCTAGTCTTTTCTGCTTGCCTTATGCTAAATTTTTCCTAGCTTCTTCTTTAAACAATTCATTATTAGAGAAGCAGCTTTCAAACTCAGTGACCAAATGTGTGTTGCTAATTTGTTGCAATTCTGTTCACATTCTAATGCCTTTCCTGTTTTTGTTTATGGCTAAAATAGAAATGGAACACAGATTGCCAAAGGATTCCACATCAGAGTTGACCTTGCATCAGCAGCCAGTTCTGTAAGTAAGATGCATGATTGAGTGAGGGGTTTTTTTGTTTTGTTTGCTATAAGCCAGTAACTCACTGGGATGTGTTCTTTGTTTTGTTTTTCTTTAGCATGACAATAAACGGTCTATATTCTTGGGAAATCTCTCATATGGTGAGTTTAGATTGAATGCCATGTCCATTTTGTGCTGTAATTTTATTTCTTCAGCAAATGTGAAATAATGATGCCCTTAATGATAGTAATACTATTTTACCTGCTAGTTAAGATTTAAGGAAGTGAGTAAAAATGAATAAATGAAACCAGTTAACTTACTCTAAAATGTAATTGAGATCTCTATTTCAGGTTATACAGCATAATTTATTAATTTTAAATCCTAGCTTTTGCATTAATTTTGTAACATAACTCTAGAGCAGTGGTCTCCAAACTTGTTTGATAGCGCAGCCCTATCAGTAAAAAAAATTCTTGAGCATGTACCCCCCATATATGTATATTTATATTCGCGCACCCCTATCAGTAAACAAATTTTTGAGCACTCATCCCCAATATATGTATATTTATATAAATAGAAGTTCTAATATTTTCTTCCCACACCCCAATGGATTGTCTTGCGCACCCCACTTTGGAGACCACTGCTCTAGAGCAGGGGTGGGCAATTATTTTGGGCAGAGGGCCGCTTACTGAGGTTTGGCAAGCCATCATGGGCCACATGACAGGCAGCCCAGGGCAGATTAATATTTATTTTCTAATGTTTTTAAAGGCCCCGCGGGTCAGATAGAATGGCCTGGCAGGGTGCATCCAGCCCCTGGGCCGCATTTTGCCCACCCCTGCACTAGAGTTTCTTAGGTCTAAACCTCCTTGTCCTATAAACATACTGATTACTAGAAAATCCCATAAACCTTGCCAACATCATAAGATTCTGCATTCCTTATTCAAGTAAAACTATTCAGTCAAAAGATATTTTACTTGTAAGGGGTACCAGATAAATTATAAACTCTCATAGAAAATTAGGTTTGGAAGGGACCTTGGGAGGTCATCTAGTCTAACCCCCTGCTTAAAGCAGGACCATTCCCAACTATATTATCCCAGCCAAGGGATCATTTGATGCGGAGTCTCAAAAATGCATTCTGGAATAAGTAGAAACTGTTCAGATGTAGCAAAAAATGTTAATTTTTCACTGTGTTAAAACCAGAGTAAAATTATGTAAAAGACTAACATCTGAACCCAGTTTGAATAATTGGGTTTTATCTTGCTTCTAAATGCTTCCTAATTGGTAGTTGTCAAAGTACTTGTTCTGTTTTTTTTAATACATGAGTATTTTCCTGGCACATATGCATTTGAACAGACTAAAATGGTCCCCTTTAAAATATTGTAGGGTTTTGGTTAGTCCTTAGGGCTCCTCTACATTGCAGTTAAAAGCATGATGGGATCTGATGTGTGATCCATATAAGTCACAGTGGCAGAGAGCATGTTTGCGGGATCCAGCATCAGACCCTATCATGCTTTATTGCCAGTATAGGGGGAGCCCAGGATCACTATCCTGGAATCCCCCTGCACCAGCGAACAGCAAATGCCCACAGCTGCGAGTGCTGAATCTGGCAGGACTCTTGGTCCCTGCTGTGCCCTATAGCTGCTGGGGATGAGAGTCTCACAGCAGTGGGATTCTTGGCCCTGACAGCCATGGAGCACAGCCAGGGCTGAGAATCCCGCCAGCTGTGAGACTCAGTCCTGGCAACCATGGGGTGGCTCTGCAGATGGGAAATTACAACAGCTGTAGTCTCTCAGCTGTGGGGACAGGCTATATGTGCAAATTAAAGCTTGGGTTAAAAACCATCTATAAACTTATTACACATTTTCCAGCAAAAACTTTATAGCTGGTTGGACCTTTTTAAGGTGACATAGTTAATTTACACGTGTAGCCAGCCTAATTAATTGGGTAATTGCAGAATAGATGTAACATGTAGAGGGGCCCTTAGGCTACCTTGATTTCATTGTTATAACTTCACAGTGACTGTTATTGCATTTGTTTGCAGACGTCGAAGATGATGCTGTGCGAGACCACTTTTCTGAATGCGGAAATGTAGTGGCAGTGCGAATTGTGCGAGACAGAAACACCGGCATAGGCAAAGGCTTTGGCTATGTTCTTTTTGAGGTAGGTAAGAATAATGTGTCTTGGAAGGCCACTAGTTCTCCAAGAATTGGGATCTGTTTTAATTATGTATTTGGCTTGTACAGCATTTCAAATGGTAGTGTCCTCTGCACTCTCCAAACGGTAAGATGACAAGTCCTTCCTCTAGGGAGTTCAGAGTGAACACAGAACAAATCAATAAGGGCTGTTCACAACAGTACTTGCAGACTGCTGCAGAGTGAATTTTAAGGAGACATTTGAAGGACGAAAAGGTTTAGCGCACAGAAAGACTTGTTTTAACAGGTATTATAGCCTATATAATGCCTATAAATACAATACAGCCTATAGGGTGACCATATTTCTTGAGTCTCAAAACAAGATACATGCAGCTCTCTGGTCTCAGCTGAACAAGCAAGCAGTGGGACTCTTCATTTGGGTTGAGGGTTACAGGTGTTTCAGGCCCGTGGCTGGAGAGGCACACAGATGCCTCAAAGGTGAGCTTTGTAGTCAGGGGGTACTGGAGGGCTGCTCCTTGGATCTCTGTACTCTTAGGGGAGCCCAATGATTGACAGCCTGCCCTCTCTCCCACTGGGGAGGGGGGCAGGCTGTCAATGAGCAGCTGACAGCTGTTGAAAAGCAGAGGCTGCCAAGAAGAGCTGCCCTCTTTGGCCTTTAGAGGTGGCAGGGGTAAGAACTGCCCTCCTTGTCTCCAGACAGTTCCTTGAACAGTTCTGAGGAGTCCAGAGACAGCACTGCCATTTGAGTCCTGGTACTGTTCAGTTGGGGAAGTGAGGCTGTTCCCAGGATTCCTGTAGAGTAGGGAAAGCTCTGGTTTCTGCTTCCTGCCCTGCAAGAACCAGGGCTCATGGCCAGAACGCTGGGGCTTGCCTGTGTTTTATCCACAGAGGTGATGCTGTTTCCTGTGTCTGTCTGGGCTCTTTGAGTGCTTGCCTTGGCAGCCCTGTCTCCTGGCCAGAACACCAGGCATGGGGCAGCTGAACCAGTAAAAAGAGTTGGAGCTCTGCTGGCTCTGCAGCTGGGGTACAGCCCCTCCTGCCCCGTTCTCCCAGTCACTGGCAGAACAGGGCAGGGGGCATCCCCTGAGTGCCTGGCACGCACACCCATCCACCCCCTGCCTGGCCCCTTGTTCTAGGCTTGGGTAGGGGGCAGCAGTACTGGGTGCCCTGACGATACACCATGGGGCAGGTAGCCAGGGAGCCAGCCCCTCTCCCTCCCTTTGACTGGTTGGGGAAAGGGAGAGCAAGGAACTGGGAGATACTGGGGGGGTCTTAGTGACCCATAAGGCAGTGGACAGGTATTACATATGATGCTAGAAAACTTTGTGGAGAGGCGCATTTATCCGTTGACAGAGCTAGCAGTTTGTAACACAATCACTACTTTGTTTCTGCCACAAACTGCTTGAATACCTGTATACTTGCTTTTTGTCAGAAAAGGGCTTATTCCCCAATACAAATGTAACACCTGTCTATTGACTAAGTCTGCTAGTATTTCTGAATGCATTAGAGAGATGATATTTAATAAATGTGTTGATTTCAGTAGCATCTCCTAATATTTCTAGGAAAAATGTATATAAAAATACCAATTTTTATAAGTAGTGAACGTCCAGGTGTTAACCATCAATCTTAATGTGTTTGATTTTATAGAATACAGATGCTGTACATCTTGCCCTGAAACTAAACAACTCTGAACTGAAAGGAAGAAAACTAAGAGTGAAGCGCTGTGATGAGAAGGAAAAAGTACAACGGAAAAATTCAGACAGTGTAAAGAACTTTCCTGAACTTAAGCACAAATCAGGTGCCACATTAAAAAATGCAAAAAGCTATTCCAACAATTCATTTGCTGGTGAAAAAGCCAGCCCAATACAGAAGAACAAAAGAAAGAGACCAAAGAGCGTGACTCAAAGAAAAACTGGGAAACACAAATAGCTGTGGCATCTTGGTACGTTGGAATGTGCAATTTAAAAAAAACAAACAAACATTTAATAGAACCCCAAGAGCTGTTTCTTGCATATAAAGTTGTGACACCACATCAATGCCATTTTGTCTCCTTGGTTTTTTTGACTTCTCATGTTGCATCCGCTGCAGCCTTTTGGAAATATGACTTTCTAGGAGCATACCTGTTTTCATACCTTTTGCTGAAGCTGTAAGGTAAGTTTAGGTTCCAGAAACTCTTTTCTAAAAAGGAACTTTCTAGAAGTTAATGACATTATTTTTGGTTGGGATGTCCATCTGAAATGACTCATCCAACAATAATTCTTTTTTCCTGTTTATAATTAAAATTAGCATTTTGCTTAATGTCCCTAGATTTACACAGCTTGTAAAGCAAAGCTTATCTAGCCTCCACCCCCTCCTTCTCTTTTTTTTCCCCTCATTTCTCCTTTTTTATCTTTTTCCCTTTCTCTTTTCTCCCTCCCTTTTTCTTTTCCACTTCCTTTCTCTCTCTTCTCTTTCCCCCTCAATGTAGTCATCTTTGCTTGTGAAGAAAGAATGAACAAAGCAAAGCTTTATCAAGTAGCCCACATGCTCACTTTCTGCAACAAGGTGTCTAAAAGTAAGCCTTGCTCTGATATTTTCTTATTAGTTGACCTCTGTTGGGTTGAGAGAGTAGTGTCTTCCTCAATCAAGCTATCCAGTGCTCAGTCCTGACAATGCCATTGACTTGCAAATCAGTTGTTTCTACATAAGTGTTTAGAATACTTTTCATTCTCTAGTAGAGTCGTCATTGCAGATATGATGCTGACGACAACTGTAGTATTTATCTTGCCTACTATCTGGCTGGCCTTTCACTGTTAAGTTTCATGTCTGGAGTTTAATTGTCAGTGTGACCCTCGTTTAAGTGAAAATGATCTCCTTAGCTCACTTGCTGACTATGCTTTCATTACTTCCAGCCCTTCTCTGCACTTGAAGAATATGTCCCGTATGGATGCATATATCCAGTTTCTAGTTCTGCAAACAGGCCAGTGCATCTGACCTGCAATTATATTTCCTCTTGTTAGTGTAAAATATGCAGCACTTAAGTGCTGCACATTAGAGTGGACAATAAGCTGAATATGAGCCAACGGTGTGTCCCAATTGCCAAGAAAGCTAACAGCATACTGGGCTGCATTGGTAGGAGCGTTGCCAGTAGATCCAGGGAAGTGATTCTTCCCCTCTATTCTACACTGGTGAGGCCACATCTGGAGTATTGTGTCTGGTTTTGGGCCCCCCACTACAGAAAGGATGTAGACAAATTGGAGAGAGAGTCCAGTGGAGGGCAACAAGAATGAGTGGGGGCTGGGACTTCTGAGTTGAGGTTGAGGGAACTGGGCTTATTTAATCTAGAGAAGAGGAGATCGAGGGGAGATTTAACAGCAGCCTTCAACTACCTGAAGGAGGGGGTTGAAAGAGGATGGAGCTAAATTGTTCTCAGTGGTGGCAGATGACAGAATAAGGATCAATGGTCTCAAGTTGCAGCAAGGGAAGTTTAGGTTAAATATTAAGAAAAACACTCTCACAAGGAGGGTGGTAAAACACCAGAAGAGGTTACCTAGGGAGGTAGCGAAATCTCCCTCCTTGGAAGTTTTCAAGACCTGGCTAGATAAAGCCTTGGCTGGGATGTCCTGCTTTGAGCAGGGGGTTGGCCTGGACTAGATGACCTCATGAGGTCCCTTCCAGCCCTCATTTTCGATGATTTAGATTCTACATTTTACACTAAATCGCTACATTATTTTAAAAAGAAAAGGGGAGAGGGGATGTTCCTCATAATGGGCTGGTCACTACCAAGCACAGGACGGGACAGACTTAAGCTATGGGATGGGAACTGTAGGATGTGCAGGCCGGGGAGACAGGAAGTCCTTGGCTTTAACCCCTGATGTGAGGGGACAGGGAAGGGGGATGCAGCCGGGACTTTGAGGGAAGGAAGGGGCCAAAGCCAAGGGCTGGGGTCACACAAGAGCAAGGCCCGCAGGGGCCGGGCAGATGCAGCTCCCCACATCTAACAATTATTTTCTCTGAAAAAAAGCTCCTTGGTCCTGAGCCAACCTGCAACCCAAGAACTGCCCTTCCTGCCACGCTCGCCCGCCGCATGCCTCGTGCGGGGCTCGGCGGCAAATGGCGGCGTCGGCGGCCCTGACGCATGCGCGCTGGGCAGGCCCGCAGGCACTGAGCAGGGCAGCTCTGCCTTGCGGCGCGGCTCGATGACGTGAGGCGGAAGCGCGGGTCCTCGCGCTCTCTCTCTCCCTGTCGCTTCGCCCGCCCCAAGGTGCCTGTGCGGCGCGAGGCCGAGGCAGGAGCGGCCGCTCCTGGGCTGCCAGACAGTATGATGGTGGGCAAGACCAGCGCCATCGCCGCGGGGCTCTGCGGGGCGCTCTTCATCGGCTACTGCATCTACTTCGACCGCAAGCGGCGGAGCGACCCCGACTTCAAGAACCGGCTGCGGGAGCGTGAGTGTCCGCCCCCCCCCCCCCC